GGGAAAGATGCTTTCCAGCCTCAAAACTTAGGGGAGGGGTGTGTGCGTTCTGTTGCCCGTTACTGAAATATAAACTTTCGTTCCTGCTAAATACATAGGTGCACTGACTATCAACAGAGAGAGAAAACAACTGCATTTGTACAGAGGCACCTTTTAAATATTGTGTTGTATTTTTAGAGTGGTAGGAGATAGCGCTTTTTTTTTCTTCGCATATTAATATGTTTTCAGTGTAATTAGGAACCCGATAAGGAATTTTTCAGTAGGGGGAGTTCAGAACTTCCTGGTACTTGCTAGCTTTTGTCGTCGTCTTTTTTTTTTTTTTTTCTTTTTTTCTTTTGGTTGCTGTTCTGTAATGCAACATGAGAGTAAAGAGGAAGTTCGTGAACAGTTTTCTCTCTCTGTTAGTATCTGGACGGTTTATGGAGTCCTGGGTAGATAGCTGCTTTCTAAAAGAAAACGCATTTACACTTTTGGTTATTTTGGATTGAGCCAGTGTGTGCTGTAACAAATCTTCCACCATTGTCTTTTTTTTTGGTGTGGTTTTTTTTTTTTTTTTTTTTTTTTTGCCTGAGGTGTTCCAGAAAGTTACAAGCGTATAGGTTGTCTGCTTTTGCTCTTCAGAGATGGCTGTTGCTGTGGAGGACATAGGGTTACCAATGATCCATACAGTGCAGTGACATCAAAGCTGAAGGGCAATGCTTCTCCCGTTGGCGTCTCACTGCAGTCACCTTGGATCGTAGGGGTTCGGGTGATACTTTCACACCTTCCACAAAGACCTATGGCTGCTGTGCTGTCACACGCAGAGGTTACTGGAGAGCCTGCTCACGGGGTGCTCCTTCTTGTGCAAGAAAATGACAAATTGCGTAGTCCCTCCAGAGCCTGCTTCCTTTGAGCAAAGGAACAAGGCGAAACATAGGAACCCTTCATCCCGCCGTCGCTCTGCTTGGTGGCAGTGTGCCACGCTTCCTCCCTGTTAAACTTTCAACTGGCCCAGGTTTCTTATTGTGGAGAGGCCTGAGGTGGTGTTTTGAGTTTTTGGGGTTGTCCTTTTGTTCCTTTTTGGTATTGCTCAAAACTATTTAGAATAAACCAACCTTCAGTTCTTGAAGGAGTATGAGCTGGCTGAGCTCTTGGAGCTGTTGCTGCTTTTACTTGTTTTCCTTGCGTGTGTGATTGGGACGCTTGATGTCCTGTATTCTCTTTCAAATTATTTAGTGCAGTACTCGGGGCACAGGGGGAATAAACAATTTTATAAAAAAAATGAGCGAGAGGCAGGTTGTAATACGTAGCATAACATCTGTATTGCTAGCGTGCGTATAGGCAATTATAATTAATTACAAATGGAAATTGAACTCCTAAGCACTTGAATGAAGGGTTAGCTAGGTTTTTGCTTTTCTTCCATTTCAAATGCTTTTCCACGTAGTTGTGGGCAGGCGGCTAACAGGAGTAGCCGTGCGCGTCTCTTCCAGCCTCAGCGGAAGAGAGTTTGGTTTTTGGCATAGCTCGTACTTGTTTGACAAGCAGGACCCGGAGAGGACAGGTCTTAGCAACCATGTGGGAGCTCGCAGACCTCTGTGCGTGAGGGCAGACCGTGAAACAGTTAAGCCATGCCGCTTCACAAGCCCATTGCTGATTTACAGAAATAGGGAACACCAAACAGACCTCTGCTTCGCTGCAGAGCACTGATAATACCTTTAGTTCGCACAGATGCTTTTATGTGTTTCCTCTCTACACGAGACACGATGACACGGTGGAGATGATAATGCGATTCTTAAATAGAGTGAGAGAGCGCCGAGATAAAATGAAATTTAACGTTTAATCTCTGGAGGCTACCGCGTCATTGAGCTTTACTTTCCCGCAAACACACCTGCTGTTAAGCAGTGGGTTCGCCTTCAATGACATTTGTTTCGACCGCAGCCCCGTAAAGATCACTGAGCCTGGAGTTTTAAAATAAAGCGCTCTTAATAGGTGAGAAAAAAGTCCTCTTAAGCAAGTATTAATAGAGCGTGAAGGGAGATTATTGGTTAAAGCAGAGAGAGTTAAAGGCTTGAAGTGATTGTGTTCTGTGGTAGTTTCGAATAGCAAGGCTTAAGCTGGTTTTGACAAATACGTAGTGTCCGTGGGTGTACTGTGCGTCTGGTTAGCAGCAATGTAAGCACGTGCATCTCCCAAGTAAGATGATTAGTAGGCACTTTGCTGCAATTTTGTCATTACAACTTCTAAAATAGATTTTTAATTTAGTATATGGGTACGTGCCTGTATTTGTGGCGTACTGCGTTATGTAGGAAGGGAAAGGTGAGATTCTTTCCTCAAATGAGAGGCTGACTGATACGCAGCAGTCGCTCCTTGCTGCTGGCAGAAGTCCTCTGTCGTCCAGTCCACTGGACTGTGCTGATAAATACAACAGTGTAAGCAAATTAAAGTGTGAAAAGTTAAGTAGCCATATGCTGGTGTGTGGGCTTGGTTTTGTGAGAAGCTCAGACTTCTGCTGTCTCTTTGAAACCAGCTTTACGTTATTTCTAGGCTTTTTTGTTATCAATGCTTGTCGCCCCACCCTTTCCTGGACCTGCTTATTTTCTAGACAGGGAAAATATGCAAGGCTTGTCTAAAGGAGGGTTAGATAAAATCTGGGAAGGATCTGGAAAGGGGACCATCCTTGTAAGTAACTGGACCTAGAGTAGTGGCTAGTGTGTATTTAATGTGACAGCTCACGGTCTATTTTCAGAAAATGTTTTAAAATATGCTTGATGGGAGGTGATTGGTTTAGGTATTGCATTTTGATAAATCATTAAAAAGGAATATAGAGAGTCCTAAACCGTAATTCTCAAGTGTTTGGCACCAAATGCAGCCTGGAGTTGAAACGCATTGTGCCTTTTTAAAAGGCATTTGAGATCTGAAAAGGCACGTGTCGTGGAAGACAATTCCAGCATCAGAACTGCTTTCTCATACTGCCATTCCACAGTTGTCTGTAGGTGTGTTACGGTTGAAATGTGCATTCAGGTAAGACCAAGTTGACGTCTTGGAGATGTAGATCTTTGCATCCCTTCTCCGCTGCTCTTAATTACTTTATCTTTTAGTTTAGAATACTTTTCTAGTTTTGAGTATAAACTGCTGGAGCACTGGAAATGTTTTACAATCAACAAATCCCAGGCATAAAGTTTGAGCTTTGTGTTGGCAGGTATGTCTAAATCATTGTAGGTGTGACAAAAAAAGAGAAGCTTTGATTATGGAGTTAAGATTGGAATCCACCTCTTTGCCAAAACTAATACTAGGCTATGGGCCTTAGGCCGTATAGACCTTGGGCAAAAGGAAGTAGGGGATCTTTTACCCTTTTAGCACTTTCAATATATTTAATAACTATTTTGCTTATTATGTTGAAGTCCAAGCGCTTTTTTCAGTGCTGTGCCACAGGATGTTGCCTGTCTTGTTTTTTGTGATGCTCAACCTTGCTTGAGTAGGATGCTATTATATGAAGATGACAGAGAGCTCAGTAGACGTTTCCATAAGCTATGTTCTTCTCATCATGCAGCACCATGATGATTCAACTTCTACAATATTTACTTACCCTCTGTTATTTGTTTTTCACATGCCATCCCACTGTTGTCACTGTTTGATTGACTACCCTGTTTGATGTTCTCACTAAGATATATTAAATAGCTTGTTACTGTCTGGCAATAAAACATCTCTTGAAAAGCACTTACACTCTTGCTAAGTTAATGTCTTTCTAACCCCCCCAGTTAAGAGTTCTGCTGTCTCTTACTCTTGCCTATTGTTTGTGTTTCCCGAAAACCTCTTTTTGACAACAGCCTGACAGCTTTTACTGAGGTTTCGTTGTCTGGGGCGATACTGCAACTAGGAGCTGGCCCTGTGGGAGGTGGGCAGCTCAAGATGTAGAACTCAATACCAGCGATCAGGTATTTTCTGAGCCCACAGTGATGTTATTCAACCCAGTAAGGTGTTTTTTGCCTAATTTGTATAGTTTCTGCTTCACTATAATAGGAACTAAATCAATCCATTCTGAGGAAACATCTTCACTTTCAGAGGACATTTAAGAGAACATAGGACTGACAGTACCTGTACTTTGAGAGGACAATATTAAAAATATAAAGCATTCCCAGAAAATAATTATTTGTTTTCTGCTGTATAAAATCCTCTTTCATCAGGCATACGCTCTCTAATAGCTAAAAGAAGCTAAGTTCTAGGTGAGATGGAGGGGAGGGCATCCTTTGCTAATTACATAGATGGCATTGATACCTGAGGGTTCGTTTAAAATCTGTACTCTCCCCTCACCCCCCACCTTCAACATGTGCACATATATAAAAAGAAGAGTCGTTTGTCTGAGAAGGTAGACCAAGTGGAAAGATGGTAATATCAATGACAGAGTCTGGGCTTTCAAATTCTTACATCTTCTGCTGCTCATTAAGCTCTAGCTGGGTACTAACATTGAAAATGTTTTGGTTTTAAGGTGGCTCTGAGGCCTACATTGAAATGTTTGAACAGCCCAGGCAAAGGGGCATGCGTTTCAGATACAAATGTGAGGGAAGATCGGCGGGCAGCATTCCAGGAGAACACAGTACTGAAAACAATAAGACCTTCCCTTCCATACAGGTAAATACTGCTTTTATCCATGAATTACCATTGCCCACGTTACCATTGTGCTGTAGCTGTGCGTTGGACTTGGTGCAGTACATAAAATGCTTTTCATTATTCTGTTATTCTTTCCTTGGCATGCAAATGTAGTTGCAACAAAGCAGAAAAAGAGCTCTCTGCTCCTAGTTATTAAAGATTTTGTTTCAAATTTACAAGAGGAAGAGTAGGTGTAGAGGTAGTTAACAAAGTGCTGGTAGAGAGGGAATTCAGTGAAGTTACTCGTTGTCTGGGAATCATTCATTATTGGCTTTTTTGAGTGCACGTTTGTGCTGGTTTCTTAGTTATGGGTTTGTTTTTACTATTTGGACTGCAGTATGAATTTTGGGAAAGCTTTGAAGGAGTTTGCATACAAAATTTGAAAAGGCTTTGAAAAGCTGCTGGGCACAACATGAAAGAAGGCACTTTGTACCAGTGAGCAAAGTAAGAAAGTGACTTGCAGCCAGTGATTCGGTGATCAGACTCTGCAAAAGAAACTACCATGAAGTATGTGAAGTCAGAAGGGGATACAGAATTTAAAAACGAGCTGAGAAAGAGGAATTATGTGGTCAGAGCACCTGCAATGAAGATGATTTGGGCAGTTGCATTATGGATAGGTTGGGAAATCCAGAATGAAGGGATTCAGAGTAGCCCTAGCTAGCAGCTATGATCGAGGTAGGGACAAAGATACAAAAGATAGAGGTGGAGTGGAAGCACTTTGGCAGTAGCTTTCATATGTGGACAAAGGAATGTGTCAGAGATCCTGGACAGGTAGGGTAAGGGAGAAGAATTTCTGGTCTCCTGTTTGAAGTTTAAGTTGCTAGTATTTCCTTGATCTCTTTCAATTTGGAGAAAATCTTTCAGAGATGAGATTAGAAGAGAAAGCTCAAATATAAATGGGAAGTTACGAGTACTTGCTATACTGAAGTAAGTTACAGTGCCCAGGAACAGAAGTTGTGTATGTGTTTAAAAAAAGGGGAAAAAAAAAAAAAAAAGTGGAGCCAAACATGGAGTCTCTGGAAACACAGCAGAAACAGAACAGATACAGAGTACGTGAACTCTGAAAAATATGAGATGTTTTAGGCTGAGGTGTAAAAGTTCTTTAAGAAGATGGAGTATTTGAGAAAGATAATACTGGCAGTCGTGTTGAGCACCAGAGTGAGCCTCTACTACATAAAGCAACTGTGGAAGCTGGTCTAGCCCTGAGGCCAGAGTTACTAAGGGAAGAAGCAAACAAGAAGGTCCCCCCCTTGACTATCATTGCAGTGCCAGATTTGGTTAAGGAATGCAGGAAATGGAGGTCTTGCCAGAATCCTTTTTTTTTCAGCACTCTGCCAACTGAACAAGGAACTACGAAGGCTGCTGGCAAGAGTAAATACTTTCAGACTCTCAGCCTGAGGCTGTGTCAGGGCATGAGTTGAACAGGCAGCTTAAGCCCTTGATTCCTCTTAGCCCAGACTGTGCCTCACATGAAGGTCAGCCAGAACCCAAAGGGAAGATGGGGCATGGTAGGTGACCATGTCAATCCTGGCATAGTTTGTTCTTTTTTTAAAGGTGACTGTTGATGACAGAGCTGATTGTTACCCATAGCAGGTGATTTCTAGGTGAATTCCTGCCTCCCTGAAGCCCGTAGGAGGCTTTAGTGCTGATTAGCTGCTAGGGGAGTCCCCTCTAGAGGTGGAAACATCAATGAGGATGAGAACAGAGAGGCCAGGAAGAGATTAAATTTCGTGATGCGGTTGAGATGAAGAACATCAAGGAGGAACTGGAGAATCAAAAGTGGCTAGATCAGGCTTCGAGTTCGAGGGACTGGGTGCGAAATGAGGGAGAAATGATGTAATAGTTGAAGAAGCTGAAGGAGTGGTGGAAGTTTTATTTTAAGGGTAAAAAGTAACGGTGGCTTGTGTGAAGGCCAAGAAAGGAGCCACACTGGAGACCGAAGAAGCTGACAGATGAGGGAAGCTAGAAGAGCATAGGTCAAGTCAAAGGTTTGAGGCATCAGCTGAAAAGGATATGTGATGGGTCCTTGGAGTCTTGGAGGAGGAAAGAAAGGGCTGAAGGAGGAGAGGAACAGTTATAGGGCAGGGGAAGCGGAGGAGGAGAGCTCGCCTCTGCACAAATGTATGCTTGAGCAAGTCCTGTATTTGCTTTCAAGTTATGCTTCAAACAATTTAGGCAAAACTGTTTTTCTTTTTTTTTTTTTTTTTTTTTTTTTTTTTTTTTACACTCGCCCACACAACCCTTGGTGACTTCACTGGTAGCCGTCAGCATGAGGGAAGACTTTTATGCATCTGAGAAACGTGTGTTGAATTAGGCTGATCACTGCGTGAAGGCTCTAGTAGGAGCTTGAGAAGTCAGTGCCCCCCTTCTTGAATATAAGATTGAGTATTTGTCAGAGAATTAATTAAAAAAAAAAAAAAGACTTCGTAGGGGATTATGTCATGATGTATCTGTTAAGATCCTCTTCAACTATTTAATGTTCCATGCACAGGCAATGTCCTTATCCCTGAGGCCTTAGGATTTTTTTCCCGAAGATCTTTGGAGCTAGACCTGTCCCTCAGTAGGCATTTGCATGTGGTCACCTATGTAGCATTTTGTGTCTTTCATTGTAAGGCTAGATATGATAATGAAATACACAGCATTACAAGCTGTTCTACTCTTAGGTCTAAGCTTCTGCATGACCTCTGGCCTTTCACACAGGAGTGAGTTCAACTCATATAAAGAGCCCTGCTAAGATGGTGAAGCGATAGATCTCCAGCCTCAAAAAAAAAAAAAAAAGGAAAGGGTAGTTTAAGAGAACTGAATGGGTTGAATGTCAAATACTGGTGCCAGTGAAATTTTATGGTTACAAGTAACTAGCTGCTTTGGCAAAAGTAGCAGGTGAAGTATGTTGTTTTACTTTCTGAAATAGATGAGGTATACTTCTGAAAAAAACCTCACTTTTCGAATATTTTACCAAACAGTTGTTTTTTTAGTGTAAAATGAACAGAACTGAAAAATGGAATGAACAAAACTTGTGAATGGTCCTGGCTTTTATGAAGCAATAATGCCATTTTCTTAGCTGTGGTGTTTCTTCCATAGAGTATTTTAAGATAAAATGTACTTTCTGTTACATGTGGGGACTTTACTAGCCCTGATACCTTAAAAACTAGAAAATATCTCACACTTTCTGTAGATTCTGAACTATTTTGGGAAAGTCAAAATAAGAACTACATTGGTAACGAAGAACGAACCCTACAAGCCACACCCTCATGATCTGGTTGGAAAAGACTGCAGAGATGGCTACTACGAAGCAGAGTTTGGGCCAGAACGGCGAGTCCTGTCGTGAGTAATGGTGTTGCTTGGGAGTTTGATTAATTATGCAAGTGATTTACTAATCTTATGTTTTAAAAGTCTTGACTAGTGATTAAAAGAGCAATTAGTATGCTGGCTTTGCTGAAGGTTACTAATCCATTTCGGAGAGAGGGCACCTTCTCTTTGAAGTATTTCCTTCTTTTTTCAATATGTCACACACTCCTCTCTGGTCCTGTTCTCTTCCTATCGCCCTTTTCTTTCCTTTGTTCGTTTTCCCGATGCCTGTCTCCTTTTCCTTTCCCCTGCTTTTTTGCTTTTTTTTAGTTTTGTTCAGTAACGCTTCTTACTCTTGAGCATGACTCTCCTACATGTGAAAATGATGAGTAATAGAATGGGTAACAGCAACATTAGAATTAGTACTTCACAGTGATTAGGGAAGTTCATCTTCCATGGGAACTACATTTGGACTTTCTGGAAACTGGTGGAGAAAGTTTGTACTGGCTGAGGATCATCTCATTTGGAAGATAGTGGTTGTGACACATCTAGAAACGTGTTAGTAGCTGTCACTGTTGCTGCTGTTTGCTTGGGTTGGGCCTTGGTTTTTTGAGTAAAAACATGGATTCTGCTCAGGACCAGCTCTGTAGAGCAAGCATGCCAGGGAATGCAGTGAGGAATATTCAGGCTTTGTATGAGACGTGTTTCTCTGTGCTGTTCAGAGGGATGTTAGGAATATCTAAAATACAATTTGTATTTGATGGCATTTCCTGTAAGTTTACCAAGTCTTATGTAATAAAGTAAAAGCAGAGTAAACTGCAACAAATGTCAAGTGATTATTGCCAGAGAGGGGAATTTAGAATTGACAAGCTGTTTGTGGTTCACAGTTTGCGATGTCGTAAATTTGGAAGTAGGCTATTGCTTTGGGGTAAACATAACTGAGCTGGGAAGAAAATAAGGTAAATATTTCAGCGTATAAGTAGCTCTTACACACTGCTCTCAGGCTGATGTGATTCTGTTGATGCTAGTGAAATTACTCCATATTTATGTGGGTTTAGTCAGTAGAACACTATTAAAGGAGAGAACTGAAGACACAGTCTGTTTGAAGATGATGATTGCCCGATGGTGAAATAAACAGTCATAATACTGGAGATGCTTCCTCAACATGCAGCCCAGACTCAAGTGGTGGGGAATGTGCTGCAGTGTATATTCGGGTGGCACGTAGCCCATTGACTCTACTGTCTTTCACTGTTACAGATTTTATTAGTTTATTGTTTTTAGCTCTGTTCACAACGCTGTCCTAATTGGCAAATGGCAGAAAAGGATTAGTAAATGTAATTCCTATAATTTTTCCCCCACTGTCATACCTCTCTAGAAAGGTAGGGCTGTCCCTTCAAGGCACTTACCTTCCACCTTGATTTTGGTAACCTCATCCTCATCGGCTCCCCTGCAAATACTGTTCCCCTTTGCTTTGTCTAAAGGACAGTTGCAAATAACCTCAAACTGTTAAGGGACCTTGCACCTTCCTCTGACCATCCTTTCACCCGCCTCTCCGTGGTCTTCTCAAATAAAGTTTCTTCACCCAAGGTCAAAGGATACCTGCTGTTCTAGCCCATCCTATTTCCTGCTCTCAGCTCTGTGCCTTCTGATTCAAAGCAAAAATCCCAGTTGCTTAATGCCTTTTCTGGTTATGTGTTACGTTCACCAGATGCAGGAAGACACCAGTGGTTGTTTTTCCTCTTGGCATTTTGTTGCACAGGGTTAAGTGTGTAAGCACACTGTAGAGAGGCCGTTATAGGATGTCACGCCAAAAAGCATTGGATGCTCTGCAAAAATTTATTTGCAAATTTTGGTTTCGTCTCCATTATATGTGTGCATCAAACCCTGTTCTTGGCCATAATGCTGTGTCTCAGTTTCACTTGAGGCACTTGTGATTCTTGCTATATCCATCAATTCTTCTCAATATCGTTAGGTTATAAGCCTCTCAGTTTCTCACAAAATATTAAGTGGGCTACTTTCACTTTACTGATAATGTGAAACTGTAAGCCTCAGTTGAGCTTGACATCAGCGATCCTGATGGGAAGAGGCTAGAAACATTCTCTTTGAAATGTTTCCAGCATCGGTACACTCATTTTTTTTTTTTTTTTTTAACAAATCATTGGTTGCTTTAAGATGAAAGAACAGTGTGATCCATAATTGGATCAGGATGTTTAAAGTCATTTTCCTTTTTGTGGCTGGTGACTCAGTCTTCACATTCTTTTTGAGTCCATGTTGGAGAAAAGCCTCGTAACAATACTGGTGAGCAGGAGATGTCCTCTCTTGGTAGTGGTTCTGGCTGTTTACTCTTACTGAGCACCCCAAACACAGCAAAAATCCAATTTGTTTTTTTTTTTTAATTTTTTTTTTTTCAGAACTGTAATTATCAGTCCCAGATTTTGAGCTGGTCTGAGTAATTACTCTGCTTTCTGCTTGTTTAAAGTTCCCCATGTAGTTCCGGTTGAACAAAGTGGTTTGTTCTGTCTGTGGTATCGTGATCTTCGTGCTGCTGCCTAAGCTTAATCAGAGCCCTCCCTGCCCAAAACGTCAAGGCAAAAAAAGTGTGAATGTTGGAGCTTGTGTGACTGCCTGTATACTCAGATTCTTACTTCCTAGTTTGCTCTCTTTGTGGATGATATCATCGGGTTTTTTAAATGTTTTTTTTTTTTTTTTTTTCCTCTTTCTACTTCTCTCTCTCTCTTCTCGTTACCTTGCTTGCTTCCTGTCAGCTAGTGTTGATGTGAAACCCCGCAGCCTTGCTGAGGTTCTCGATGGTTTCTCCTGATCTGGCCCTCTGCTAGCGATAGTTAAATAGCCACTTTCACCGTGACAGCCCCTGTTTAAGAAAATGTTGATAATCTGAGAATTACGGGGCACTTAAAATCCTGGTTTCTCTCCATGAGAGGCTTTGTTCACAATGGTTGAAAGGTGCGGAGTGATGGCTGTTGGTCTTTGCGTAGCTGGGTAGAGCGTTTGTTCGAGGCCGGTTCTGCTTAGGCGCTTGCTTGATATCTGTAATTTACAGCGGATGGCTGGAGAACCTGGGACTGCCAGACGGAAATTTGGGGATATAATACAGAACCGGGCCTGTTCATAGACTTTGAAGCGTGCTTCAGACTGAATCTGTGGAATACAGTGGGTATTTGAGGGGGAAAAAAAAGTAATAAGTGCTGTGATCGAGCCCGAAAAAAAAAAAAAGTACTACCTACAAGAGAAGATTGAAATAGGATTGCTCATCAAGGTACAGCTCTTTGAATGTCAGTAGCCACACTGTGAAGCCGAAGTGCTTTAGTCAATGGCAAGATGCTACTGCGTTTTATTTTTCTCTAGGTGACTGGATGAAGTTCAGGTTCACAAGGCAGCTTATGCATTCCTCTGAATGCATGCCTGTTCTGGAAGTGGGGCCTGATTGTGCAGGATTTGGGAACCTCTAAACAGGGCTCATTGGGCGCAGGCAAGGGAGTTGAAGGAAACTAAACATCATGCTGGGATAGTCTTGTTCAGAGCAGGGAAATGTAGGACGATTCTTGGGGAAGGAGGAGTATCTTTAGGTGCGTTAAGGTGTGTTTTTAGGCATAGCTAAAGCACAGAGCTTTTGTGGGGTTTCAAAGGCAGGGAAATGGTTGGTACTTCTGGAGAAAGATGCCTGCTGGCACGACCTATCTTCTGAGCTTATTGTATCACCACGAAACACGGATTTTTTTTTTTTTTTTTTTTTACTTCCTGCTTTACATCCACTCAGCTTTGATGATGTCATGGTTTTTCCATGTGGGAAGGAGTCAGCTCGCCTGGGACTCCCCCCACCTCCTGCATCGGGGTGACCTGCACTTTTATGCAAATAAGGAAGAGCTGCAGCTCTTCAGAACTTTTCCATAACTACATGAGATTTAAAAACCTGCTTTGACTTGTTTCAAAAAAACCCCTGTAAAATAGTTTTTGAAATTTACATTCCCTGATAAAAGCAGGAGGGCAAATCCTTGGCTAATGCAAATCAGCAGGTTTATTGATAACAAAAATAATTATCACTTTAAATTACCTGAAATTGAGTATTTAACTCGATCACCATAGGTTTACTGCAGTGTAAATATTTTTAATATAGGAATATATTTTCTTAATAAAGAATATCAATTATTTGGAATTTTATTTTGGTATTTTTCACTTCTGTTTCTGCTCTTACTTTAGAAAAAAACTGCACCCCTGCTTTTCAGATCTTTTACATCCTTCTCAAAATAAGCTTTTTTTTTTCATTTCTTACACTGTATGTTATCACACGAGTCAACATCAAATGATTTCTGTACTATTCTATGCTGAAGATTTTATTAGTTGCTGAAATCCTGCCACATGTGCTTCAGTTTTCAGAATTTGGGCATTCAGTGTGTGAAGAAGAAAGACCTGAAAGAATCGATTTCTTCACGAATCTTGAAGAAGATTAACCCTTTCAATGGTGAGTAGAACTTAGCTGGTTCACTTTGCAGGGTGCCAGGGTTGGTTTTTTTTGTCCTGCCTTTGCTTTTATGGTTGAGGATTTTTTCCCCAAAAAATATTTTTTTTTTTTTTTTTTTTTTTTTGGAGAAACACTCTTTGCTTTCTGTGCCCCTCCTAGTTTTTCCTCACTGTCATCACATGATGAATCTATTTGGATAGTGATATATATACTATTTGAGTGACCTTCTCTGGAAACTTCTACGAGTGTCTCAGGAATGAGATTCCCCAGTTTTGGCAGCTATGAGAACGAAAGACTGAGTTAGCGTAACTCTGCAACAACTTAAACTGATATAAACCTAGCTTGCCACTGTCCCATCTCTTCTCTCCTTGTGACACTGGTGTTTGTGACCCCTCAGGGACTTGACAGACTCCTTGAAGCTGCCCCTTGCTTGGTTTTACAGGCTGGGAGCAGGTACCAGCACCCAGGAAGGCCCACAGCGGTGTTGGCCCCAGTCGAATCTGAAGCAAGTTGTGCTGCTACAGAGCCACACCTGTACGGGCCTACCCACGGGCTGTAGTTTTATATGACAGCTGATCTGTGGGCTGCTTTCAAAAAGAGTCATCCTACTCTTCCCTCCATCCCTGGTCACATACTCCTACCTCTTTCCTCACACCAGATACAGAGGCTGCGAGGCTCACGCGGTGAACAGACTCGGCAAGTTGCTCCAGTGGAAAACCAACTTGCAAAAAAAATAAAGCAAGCTATTTCCCCTCAGATCAACTTGCTAAACCAATTCATCTCGCAGCCACATAATTGCAAAGTTCGATGCGCAGAGGGAGTGGGGAACACGCAGCAAATTGTAGGGCCAACTGGAGCAGGACCAACACTTTTCAGTGTGCAGGCACAACTGGGGAGAATTAGATGAAAACCATAAAACCCCTTGAACTATCAGCTAAGCATTATTGTGATTGCAGTTATGTATTTGCTTAAGTGTGGCAAGAGCTTGGAGATTTTTCAGATACTGTTTTTATTTTTTAATACCCACAAAAAGTCTTGCTAAATTCAGGTAAGACTCTTATTGGAGAGTTGAGAGCTGGATTTCTGACTGGCTTCAAAGTACATACTTTGCTTTTGTCCTGAACTGGGACAAAAAGAAGCATGTTGAACTTACTACAGAATGAGAAATGTTTCAGATCACTTTCTTAATTTTCAGAACAGCTATTTGGAGTCAGGCTGATGGTCTTAATGGCCCATCTAAACAATTACCCTGGCTCTAATAAGGTATGCACACAATAGCATCTGTTTTTACATTATTCTAGTCCATCAGCAGAATTTAAACAATTTAAGTGTTTTAATTATGTTACCTTGACTCAGCCAGCTCTACCCTGATTTCAAACAAAAGGGGGAACTCTTCAGCCCTCTTGTCTTTCTTTTACTCCATAATTAAAAAAAGAGTTGACATTTTCTCTTGATGTCATGCAGTAAAAGAACATGATAAAATCCCTTTCTGTACGTGTACTTTGCCAAAGAAACTTCACCGACCACGTAGTTAGCTCTGTTCCTATTGCTGCCAAGTGTTAACAGTGAAGACATGTTTAACTAAAGTCCTTCGGCAGCAGATTTTTACAGCACTTGGCATGTCACTCCAAATTCGCTATTTGTTTTTGGGCGATTCCAGTGGATTGCGCTTGGTAGCATCAGGGCAGATCCTGGGCTACTTTCCTCCAGCCTAGCAGCAGAGGAGAGCCTTGCTTGGGTGACACACAGGGCAGCACCCTGCTCTTGGCCAGGGCTGTGCCGAGAAGGGGCCGCTGGCAATCCCCAGCCTGCGTAATTGCCTTTCGGCACTTGTTAACGTGTCAGCACAAAGCAGAGCCGCTTGAGAATGGCCTCCAGCCATTCCAGGGCAGTCCCACGCTAAGTAGAGCCCAGAAAGGCAGAGGACCAAGCTCTAATAAAACCGGATTAGTGACAGAAATATTTTTATATGTGTACTTAGTTGATCAAAACAGGGTTTCGCTAGCAGCAGTCACCGTAATGTTTGCTGCTTGATAAGACTGAAGGTTTTATGTATGGATTTAGTTTGCTTTTTAAGGTCAGAAGAGTTATCTCTACATTCTCCGAGATTTCACAGGCTGTATTGTATCCATCCTGCATTGTGCTTTATTTTTGCGCCTTCAGAAAGGCATCTGACTTTTCTGTTTAGAGGTATTTCAGAGTTAGGTGCATCCTCTAAGCAGGGTGCAAGTTACACTAACTCATTTCATGTACATCATCATCTTCGTTGGGCTGAAAATGAGCCTTCAGGGTGTTTGTGTGTTGGTTGTTTTTTCTTTTTCTTTCCTACCTTCTTCTGGAACAGTCAAGCAGTCCCTGTCCTGAGTCTCCTTTTGGGGCAGAGGTTCAGTATGGACCCTATTAATAGATGCAGAACATGGCCAGCCTGTCAGTCTGTATGACTTGCCTTGTCAGTAAGGGATGAAGTAGTAGCAAGGCGTGGGTCCACAAAGTTGCGTTCCAAACTTCCTTGTGTGAAGGGGCTGTCATCTTCCAGGGAAGCCCAGGTGCCACAGACAACTGGGATGGCAAAGGGAGAGTGAGCCCTGACACAAATTTTCCCGTGGTGTCATCCCTCCTCCACGCCTTCCAGTATGCGGTATGGGTGCAGACTGAATAAGGGTCGTAATCAGCAACAGTGGGAAGCTGCTTGGTTAAGATGTATGGGTTTTAAGATCATTTTCTCCAGCACTCTTGCCTATACTGCTGAAGCAACTGATGTCTACCTCTGAACTCCCGGACAATTAGAAGTCAGTGTTTGCAGATCATGCCGCATGCCTAGCTGGAGCTGCCTGCATCCGAGTCACTCTGCAAGTGTACCCGTAAGGCTGCTTCACTATGCATTCCCTAGTAATAGCTGGCAGTGTTTAGCCCTTGCTAAGTTCAGCACAGGCCGTGCAAATTGTGTGTGTTCACTAGGAGGCAACTCGGGTGACTTGCACTTGAGTTGCTCCTCTTGCGTTAGCCTGGTTTGTGAGAGTTGCTGTTCCCACACCGTCTCTGGATGCGTTTGTGACCTGCTGTGTTCACAAGGTACATCCCACAGATTTTTGTCCTTTAATAAGCTAAACAATTCCAGAAATCTCTTTTCGTCTCTTATTCCTGAGCACGCCAGGGAAATGGTGCCCAGTGGCAGCCTAATGTGTAACTAGGACTCCTTGGTGTGAAGATGATACAAATGGGACAGCATCCCAGGAGCAGAGTTACTCCTCCAGTGGAGCTGGTCCATGTCTGCTTTCTAGGGTGTTTGTTTTCTTTTGGTAGCTGTCGAGTTGTGCCATATCCTTGTGTTCCCGTGTACTGTCTGATGTACGGCCAACTCAAATTAAAAGAAGAGCCAGTCTTGAGTGAAGAGCTTTTGTGTGTGGGTGTGCCTTGTCATAGAGACAACAATTGAGTTAATAACAGCTCAAGTTAATTATCAATGAGGAAAAGCCCTACGTGCATTCTTTAAATTTAGGGGGAAATTGTACTTGGCAAAGTATTGCAGAGGACTAACCTTTTTGCAGCCAAATGGAGGACAGCATGAAACCCCTAGACTTGTCTTACAGCAAGAAAGCCAGAGAATCGCCAAACTTCAGGCTATTGATCAAGAGGGCATACATAGGCTTTCCCCGGAGCTCGACCTATGCTTAGGGTTCATCTTTGTAATTGCTCTTGCTAATAGGCATTTAATTAATTTTTAGGCTCTCCCCTGTACCCCACAACTAATTGAGCTCTGTTTGCCTCCGCAGTCTTTCCTTTGCCGTTTCCCCTTTCCGCCCGCGAGCAGCTGACCCCGTGTTGGCTTCGCGCTCGTCACAGTCTCCACGACACCCCCTGCACGCCTCCGCGCGGCACCCGGGCTCGTCCCCACACCAGTCACACTCGCTTCCTGCCCACGCGCGCAGTCACCCTCTCCGCAGCTTCCCTTGACGGCGGCTGCGCTCGTAGAGACCCCCCCCTCCTCCCTCCCCCCCAATCTCCTGTGACGCCGCTCGCCCACATCGGCCGCGTTGGCCAGGATCCCCCCGCTCCAGCCCACTTGCTGCAGAGGAGTGCCTGCTTTAGGGTGGGGGGGGCTTATCGGGCCACGAGTGAGCAAATAAGCAAAATATTATGAACCAAAAGAAGACTCTTAGCAAGAATTCAGGAGCTGCGGATAGTTTGAAAGTGTCGTCCCTAACGAATGCCTCGGATGTTAAAGGAAACCAAACTTCTGTCCTTAAATTGAAACAAAAATCCCTAACGAATGCCTCGGATGTTAAAAGAAACCAAACTTCTGTCCTTAAATTGAAACAAAATGCGTAACCCCCTGCCCCGACTAAATTCTCAAGCTGAAAATCTTGGTCAAGTGACAGTTGCCAGCTGTTTAAGAGGCACGGAGCAAATCTACTTGAGGAGAGCTAAGTGTCCTGATCGTAACGTGACTTTAGCATTTACCTCTGGAAAGCCCTTTGCTCTTTTGTTCCTCACGCAAATGCTTCTTGCTGTTTACACTGAAATTTTTGTGTTAACCTAAAGGACAGCCGCTTCTCGAATTGTTTAAAAATGAAAATTACCAAGCAGAGATACAAGAAATGCTGACTCTTTTTTGTGCTGTAAACAGAAACTCCTAAAAAATGGGTTAGAAACATACAGAGGCTGATGGATATACTTGATTAAATCTGTTCCAATTTTACCTTTTTCGTATTGAACTTAAACCAGGAAAAGAACCCAGACTGAGAGAAACGTTGTCTAGACAAAGCAAGGCCTGAGTTTTGAAAGTTTTAATTTATATTCCCAGTTCATCCCTTGGCTTTTGTATCAGGCCAGGCCATTCACCTTCCCTGCGCTTCTTTCTTCTGTAAAATGGGGAAATGTGACTGTGGTAGTTTGGGCATTTACTGACTATAGGCTAGCATCTCAATTTGCTGGTCATTTGCGCTAATGTGCAATTACACCCCTGAGTTTTTGCCTTTTTAAAATGATCGAGTGGTGCT